TCACCCTCTTGCGCGAGTCCATCTCCGCGCATGGAACACCGATTCACCACAGCGCCATGCCGCCGAGACCCGCCGCCATCAATGAGTGAGATGACGCACCGCTCCACCAAAAAATCCGTCCTTTGGTCCCTCGATCACGTGTGTACCTCCAAGAATGACGCCCCCAAGGGGAAAACGACACCAGAGCGCCGCTGTCATCCAATCATCCGATCTAGGGTTTCCCCCTGAGGTAGCAGAGAGTGGCCTTGAACTTTTCCACGGTGATGCCTTCAAGAAGGGAACGATGTAGATAGCGTTGCCACCGCCAGCCTTGGCAGTAGCCGAAAGCAGGTTTTCACCCAGATATGTTCGAAGGAATCCAACTCCCATGCACGGCCGCCACCACCACCGGGCTGAGCACACGCCGCCGCCGGCACATCCACGATTCCAAGAGGCCGCGAGATTACCAGCGGAGCCTGGCCACCAGATGCACCACCACCGCCATCCCGCAGGGCCACCGGCCAATCCCATCTCCAAAGCCTCCATCCCTGATCCAATCTGGGAGTATCCAGATCCGCCGCGAGGAGGCAGCGCCCATGCCAGGTACGCCGCACCATCGGAGGGATGCCACACTAGCAGGGAGTCGGGGGAAGGCACTGGGGACGGAAGTGACCTGCTGCCCTACGACGTTGTTGAGGAGAAGGAGCCCCGCATCCCACCTCGCAGAACAGGTGACGAGCAGCTCCGCCGCCGCCACCGCCATGAGGGCTTTGCCCGATGGCGCCCGTCCGCGGCAGCGAGGGAAAGGGGAGCGGGGAAGGGAACCCCTAGGCGGCGGCGGCGCCCTCCCGGGTCGCCCGCGGGGGGACTACACGGGAGTCGGGAGTTGGGAGCTTGGTTCAGTTTCGGCCCTCAACCGAGTTGGCATAAAGGTACTAGAAGTGTAACTAAACAACCAAATGCATTGGCACACCAGTTAGTCGAGACCATAAGATGAAACAACGCCGTGGAGTTCGAGAATCCTGTAAATAACATGAATCAGATTGCACTAGGAATGGCGGAACCAGTTGACACATTTGGAAAGTTGGTGCCAAAGGTAGGCTGCGTCCGGCGGCCAGTCCTTCTCCGTTTCCTTTTTCCTTTCTTTTCATGAGTTGTTGCTAGTGCTGGTAGCTAGTAAAATGCCAAGTGCACAAACCGAGAAGAATCTAAAGAATGGAAAATTAGATGATGGATAGACTATGCGGCGACACGATCGCGAGTCCGGCTTTCCCTTCCTGGTCCGGTAGCAAAGCAGGTGGGTGGGTGCAGAGTCCTCCGTACGATGGCGAAGCCGAGTTGCGTGCTCCTGCCCGGCGGGGCCGGCCATCTACGACAATGTCCTGCGTAGTGTCCGGTTTCCCCCCGTTAAAACTTGTAGTCCCTCCGTCCGAAAACACTTGTCACCAAGTATATATTTTTAGATACATCTCCTTTTATCCATTTTGATGACAAGTATTTTCAAACGGATGAAGTATTACTCAAGTTGCAACAACTTTACAATCTGAATTACAAAGATTAACGAGTAGTGCCTATGGAAGACCATAGTTCAACTAGAGGACAGTTCTACCTTCAGTTCTAGCACACTTAGCCAAAAAATTACTAACAGTATTTTGGCTACGAGTAACATGGGAAACACAAGTTCTACGAAGACTCCTCATATGCTTGATCTCTCCCACCAAGGAAGCAAAGTTTGATCTGTCCATATTCTCATCGTTGACCATGTTTCCTGTTGCAAGAGAATCCACCTTCGGATGTATAGAAAGCTCTGTTCTTTGAATAGCGACCTATAACCTTTCCATGTAAGCACAAAGTTTCGATACCAAGACATTCGTGCATGAGAAAAGTGACGGAAAGATGATGTTGTTGTTGCCGTCACGAAGGACCGTACCCGCACATGCTCGACGATCAATAGTCCGTGGCCCATCAGTTGATCCGTGGAAGAATTATCTGCAAGCAGATACGTATTACGTAGTACTCACTCCGTCCGGAATTACTTCTTGGAGGATTGAACGTATCTAGATGTATTTTAATTGTAGATATATTTGTTTTTATCTATTTCTGTGACAAATAATCAAGGATGGAAGCAATGCGACCGTGCTCTGTTCTTGCCTCCGTTCATAATGAGCTCACCACAGCAGCCTTGCATGCCCAGAATGCGATGCTTTGGTGATTACTGCTACAAGTTTGTGTACTATCATCACAGAAGCACAGGCAATCAGGCATAGGGATATAAATTAAACCACATGTCGACTCGACTCTGAATCAGAGTGCACTAGCAACGGTGGAATCCGTTGACACACAGGGGTTCTTGCTCACCAAGTTAGTGACCATGTACGTACCACTTTCTTTAATGCTTGCTCACGATCGACGGCGACGAGGCGCTGCGTGCCGCCGGCGGGGCCCACCACCACCTCCGCCTCGGGCACAGTAACAAGGGATCCGGCTGCTAGGATATGCCTTTTGTACTTTGCGATGGGAATCATGAGCCCATGTTGAGTCCAGTCATGCAAAAGTTTAAAAATGTTTGTGAGTTTAAAAAATTTGTGATTATGACCATGTGCCCTACACTAATTAACCGAGCGTCCTGAGTTCATGACCATAGGCGGTACACTGGTTAAGCACATGTAGATCTTTGAGGATAGCTCGTTTCATCATTTTGTGCATCTGATCGCCACAAAGCATCATACTCTACTTGTTGACACAACATCTCTCTTTCGATAAAGCGCATGTTAAGAATTAAGTACTAAGCGTTTTTGCCCGTCCTTTATGCTACAGTATAACCCTTTCATGCAAGCACAAACTTTCGATACCAAGACATTCCTGCATGAGAAAAGCGACGGAAAGATGATGTTGTTGTTGCCGTCACGAAGGACCGTACCGGCAGTTGACGATCAATAGTCCGTGGCCCATCAGTTCACCCGTGGAAAAATTATCTGCAGGCAGCAACATACTACGTAGTATTCACTTTGTTCGAAATTTCTTGTCGGACAAATGGATGTATTTAGACGCGCTTTAGTTCTAAGCATTTATTTTTATTCATTTATGCGACAAATAATTCCGACGAAAGCAATGCGACCATGCTTTGTTGCCACCGTTCATAATGAGCCCACCACAGCAGCCTTGCATGCATAGAATGCGATGCTTTGGTGATTACTACGTATGATATGCGGGGAACCGTTCGAGTTTTTTAACCAAGCAGGCATAAAGATTACTGCTAGTACAAGTTTGTGTACTATCATCACAGAAGCACAGGCAATCAGGCATAGGGGATATAAATTAAACGACATGTCGACTCGACTCTGAATCAGAGTGCACTAGCAACGGTGGGATCCGTTGACACATGGGGTTCTTGCTCACCAAGGTAGCGACCTTGTACGTACCATTTTCTTTAGTGCTTGCTCACGATCGACGGCGACGAGGCGCTGCGTGCCGCCGGCGGGGCCCGCCACCACCTCCGCCTCGGGCACCGTGAGTCCGTGACAGGGGATCCCGCTGCTAGGATATGCCTTTTGTACTTTGCGACGGGAATCATGAGCCCATGTTGAGTCCAGTCATGCAAAAGCTTAAAAATGTTCGTGAGTTTTCAAAAATGTGATCATGACCATGTGCCCTACACTAATTGACCGAGCGTCATGAGTTCATGACCATAGGCGGTACACTGGTTAAACAGAGGTAGATCTCTGAAGATAGCTCGTTTCATCATTTTGTGCATCTGATCGCCACAAAGCACCAGGCTCTACTTGTTGACATAACATCTCTCTTTCGACAAAGCGCATGTTAAGAACTAAGTACTAAGCGGTTTTGACCGTCCTTTATGCTATTTTGCAGAAACCCCTCCTGGAATTTTGTGTAGTCAACCTGCAATCCATCTATAAGTGACTGAAAAACTTTTCTTTCTTTCATGGGGCTCGGCCACGCTATGGGCCTTCTTGGGTGTCGAGCAGGAGCTCTCGGTTTGAAGCCATACGCCCGTACCAAGCTGATACTTGTCTGTGTTAATGTTGGGTTAGCTCCATATAATAAGGGGTGATGGAGATTCAATTTGTCCACAAGGTGCATTATACAGATGGAGCGAGCCTGTTTTGCCTGCTTGGTTGCTAGAAAATAAATAATAAGAAAAAATAAAGCTACATGAGGTGGTAAATAATCCGATCACGTGACTTCAAATGGCTCAAATTTTGGTACTTACCATGTTAGTGGCTCCTTGAGATTTTAGAATAACATGATTTTAAATATTATCATGTTTATGAACAATTTTTGTATGAATTTTGGAGGATTAGGGTTCCGCAATTTTTTTTAATATGGATTGTTTAATTCATAAGATTTGATATGATGAAAATCTATCATTATCACTATCTCTATTCCTACATTTATTCGTCCATCCCTCTATCTATTTTGTGAGATTTCAGGAGTCTGGGGGATGAAGGTGGTTCTACTGATAGATGCAATCGACGGGTCACCCTCCGAGTTGTTCGATTGCTCACTCCTAACTGTTCGTTCTCACTCATGTCCTCTGAGTAATTCTGGCGATGAGGTATTCTATAACTGTTTTTTTTTCCTTAAACGGCAACCGTGGGGAAGCACCCCACCTGAAACGGAGATTTCACTGAAAACACAAGAGCGCATGGGCACAAAGTGGGTACAGTCGCACATGGCAGCAAAAAATGTAAGAAAACTGAACGTAGCTATGCTCTCCGGTTGCAAGAAAAAGTCAGGAATGTGAAAATATGTAAGCTTTTTCCCTTTTCTGCTTTACCTCCTTGTAAAACTAGGTTGGCATGTCAGCTTTAGATTGTTCAGATTGTTCAGATAAACATAGACAAGCAGGAATGCAACCAAAGAACTCCATTTTATTATGAGCAAGAGGATCATACAAGCTCTATCAACATCACTTCATTCTTGCTAAGAGTTATGACCCCTAGCCTACTCCCAAGCCCATCTCTATCTTTTACCAATATGTATCTCCATGCAAACTTTACTCAGAGACGCGAAGCAGGATGAGGCCTGGTGCACTCTTGTTGGTGAACCCATCCCAGCCTACCATCCTGATTGTCGTATATCACAAGCATATCCCGCATTGTAGCGTCTGCAAAACAAAAGATCAAAATGGAGATCATTACAAACATGTATGCCTGGTGCACTAGTTTCAGAAAATGGAACATGTTTGTCAAGTTCAGACCTCCAATCAAGATCCGTCGGTCTTCACCAACGTGTGTTCCGTTGAGGATGGCCAGGCACCAATTATTGCTTCTCTGACACAAATTTGTAAGGACATGTTAGCTTTTGTAATTTGCCGTTTCACTCTTTGCAGTCAATTGAGTCATCAAACGTTTACCGTGTGGATGAGGTAGTTCATAGCAGGGATATGCATGGCAATTTTGTTGTCAAACTGCAATGACAGTGGCTTGAACAACCTCTTAACCTCGTCGATAGATTTGAATTTCCAGCAATGTGGCAGGTCATGATCATGCACCTCGCGGTGTGAACTGCCGATCATATGTCTCACCTGCAAGATCCAAATGCCATGACTTAAATGTCCCGTGTCTGTCCAAATGCATGGGCACCATGATGCACTGCGGTTCGATAAAATACCGTATGAACAAAGGGATTGTATATCCGGGCAGGTATGTAGGTGTAGGTGGAACCACTGTCAAAGACAGCATTCACTCCATGCTTGTATATAGGCTCTGGCTGTCCGTCTAGGTGTAGTTTTGCTTGACCAGGTGAGTAGAAAAGTCTGCAACAAATGGTGTTGTATAATGTTTAGAACCAAGTGAAAAGAAAACAAGTATCAACAAATCGTTTTCTAACTATACAACCCCTTTCGACACATACATATTACTAGATACTTATTACAGTTATGCAAGGCTAACAGGGGAGCAAAAACCAAAAACTGAAATTGGCACCCCAAACTTCATCAACTAATGATCACAAACAAGCTCTTGAAATTGATAAGCAATAGTGCTTACTCGTATCTTCTCATGGGTGCCCAGGTTATGCCTTCCGAGCCAAACTGCTTGTCCCCAAAGAAGAGGTAGCCCCCTCCATCCTTGCCAAGGCAATGCCCAATGATGTTCTTGGAAATCATCTTCTGCAACTTGAGTTGCGGGACAAAACCCACCGTTCCCATCCCAAGGGCAAGGATGCCATGTACGGGCGATGGTTTCCGTGGGTGCTGGTTGTATCCACATCTGCGTAAAACGAAAGGTGAAAAATCATCAACATCCAAGTCCAGTAAGCACTGAACAGACGGTGAATGGTTAGTTCTTACCCTAACGCAATATTGTTTTCCTTTCCCCCGACAGAGATCTTGTCAAGGGAGAGAACACCTTCTGTCGTCCCATCGAGGTATCGAATTTTGTAGTGGCATTGATGTGGCTCCTTGATGGGGCATTGAGGGTTAATACCTGGCAGGTCTTTCCGCAGTGCAACACAGTACATGTGTTGACATCCCACCTTCAAGTTGCTAAGTTTTGGCGAGTAATATGAGTGTTTATGCCCCTGGAATAATCAAGCACGAAAGCAAAGATCATGCCAAGATTGCAGTACATTTTTTGCCAATGAACTTGGACAGAACAGAACACTTGGCATCAAACACAAATATTACAGTTGTAAGATAGTACTGTATGTGATATCACAGAATTGAGTGTTGTTACCTGGGTGCAGTGCTGGCAGCCGAGGTGCGGGTGCTGACACTCCAGCCAGGTGAGGTTGCTTCCGGTGTGGATGTCCAAGAAGTAGTGCTTCAGGGGTTTACCAATCTGCAACGTAACATAGTAGTGGCTGCAGTGGTACAGAAAAGCGTGTCAAATATACGGAGAAAGAAAACTTCAAGCCTGAGAAGGACGATCAAAGCTTGTCAATTGCCATGTAATGATCAGAGAAACATACATACCCGACAGGATAGACGTTGCCATGGAGCGGGAGCGTGATGGCGGAGGAGGAGGACGGCACGAGTGGGAGCAGGAGCAAGAGGAGAGCGATGATTGGAGACCACATGGCAGCCATGGTGGGGGGAGAAGGCAGCAGTGTGATTTGAAACTCTGTGCTTCTCTGGATGGTGCCAACAGGGTGGTCAGGTATTTATAGCCGTTGGTTCAGAGCTTAATTTCCTCCACTGCTTTGTAGTACGCCTTAGTTTATTTCCTTTGCATTTTTTGTGGCTTTAATGTTGATTTTCCTCTCAAGTGATATTGTATTCGGGCTTAGCAACTTATGCAGGGCGGGGGTTCATAATGTATAGTTATGTTTTCAAAAATAGTATACCCCTGCCTTTCCTAATGAGCAAATGGCTTAGAGTTCCCTGACTATTAAATCCTTGTTTAAAACAACGGAATTTTCCAAAATTCTAGCAGGAATAGAACAAATTTATGTCAAATTCCATGTGTTCCAACTGAGACTCAGTGAAATTTAGGCCGGCAAGAAGATTAAGTCAGAAAGAACTGGATTTACATAATTATATCACTCGTTGAAACCAGCGGTTGGCTGGAGCACAAGGGGTGGTGATATAACTATACCAGCCATCCATTTTTAAGAACTCACACAAATACATGACCAGTATACTGTGATGAGGTGCATGATACTCAAAATTAGTGATACGTTTACTTATTTTTAGGCTAAATATGATGCAAACATTCCCATGAAGATACTGTATAGAAGATACAGTACATTTTAAATAAATGATGGCATGCCAAATGATACATGTCTAGCAAACTAATGGGCATCCCATTTTTGCAGCTCAATTTTTGACATTGAAAATTCGAAAACAAATTTCTTTTATTCTACTTAGATGTACATGATACATATGTAATGCAACCTCTCGATATGTGCATATTTTTACTGCATAAATTTTAAAATTGTGTGAACATATAGTGTACATCTGAAAATAGTGGTCCATTTCAAGTAAGATAACCGCAAAACTTGCAAATCTTTTCCCAGAATGTAAGAGTAGAAAGGTTCTCATATCTGTTTTGGTCATTCTTTAAGCACACGCTCCACAATTATGTTCACAAAGAATGCAGTGGAGACAAATAGCATGTCACTAACCTGTATGCTCCTCCCCATTTTGGCTAGGCATGTTAAAGACAGGGCAGACTTAATTTGGATGGCAGTAGCGGCATTCAGTTAGATGGTAGCAAATGACTTGGTTTGTATCTCACCTCGAATAATTCATTATATTTATAAAAAAAAATCCGAGAATGATTAGTGACAGATTTACTTATAGGGCTAAATGATCTGAACATTCCCATCAAGATACTGTATAGAAGATACATTCAGATAAATGATGCCATGCCAAATGATCTAAACATTTCAACCTTGAAAACTTGAAAAACAATTTATTTTGTTCTACTTAGCTATACATGATACACATATATGCAATGCAACCTCCAGATATGTGCATATATTTAATGCGAAAATCTTTAATTGTGTGAACATATATAGAGTACATGAAGACATATCAAAGCAGTGGTCCATTTCCAGTAAGATAACCGCAGAATTCACGGTCATTTTTTTGCCGAATGTTAGATTAGAAAGGTCCTCGTTTCTGTCTCTGTCTCGGTCGTTCTTTAAGCACACTTTCCACAATTATGTTCACAAAAAAGGGATGTATTGTGTTAAATTGCAAAATATGTGCCAAGGAACCATTGTGGAAACCGCAGAAATAGATAAGGAATATGGAGACGGTTTCAATCTCCACTCCAGCAAGCAACAACTATTTTGAAATTAGAAACATATGGAAGCAATCATCATACTATAAAAACAGGACATAAAAACACAACTAACACTGTTGCAACTCATGATTATCACAACTGACAAGGTCATTTACAATGTATGACACAACGTAACGGGCATTCGAATTGATTCGATATTGAATTTTGATTTCAGTACTCATGTGGAAAGTGGGGAATAAATAACTACAAGGTTTGGAATATTGTATGTGCCGTGAGATAAAAGTAGTAAATTGTTGTTCATCATAATCCACATCATCCTTGCTACAAGTCATCATTTCTACTCTGTCAATGTTTAAATTATGAATACTAAACAAACAACAGTAGTATGATTTTTTTTTGTGTGTGCATACAGTAGGTTTTTGGTTTTAAAGGACAAAGTTAATGATCAGCATTTGGCAATTGTAATTTTTCAGATTAGAGCTTGATATTTCAAAGGTAAAAGCTATTTGTTTGCCTAGTTCATCTTCATATACCATTACTATATACACACCGTCAGTCAGCAATGAGGATTGGTTTTTAAATTTCTCAGATTTGAGAAGTAACCCATATTTACAAGAATGCAATTTCAGCGTACAACTCAATCTTGAAACAAGAGTTGGAGCTATCCCATTTACATGAACGCAGCTGATCAGAAAAGTAAACAGGTAAGAAGGCCTACTCACAATGTTACCTGCCTGATCCAATAGAACATTCAGTTCTGAGTCCGATATAAAGCAAAACAATCTTCAAAAAAATTGATAAGCAATCAAGCATCAGATATATTGTGTATCGAAGTTTTTAAAGCTTCAATTGAAGATTCCGCCTTATTATGAACAGGAAGAGCAAAGAGGTTAGTAACTTACTATTTGTCTCTCTCCACTACATGCTCACTTGTTTCCATTCACCCCTCATTTTGGCCAGGCATGTTAAGACAGGACAGACTTTATTTCGATGGCAATAGCAGAACTCAGTCAAATAGTTACAGCTGACTTGGTCTGTATCTCACCTAGAATAATTCATTGTATTTAGAATTATTCTCCATTAAAAAGGGGCAACCTGGTGCATGTAGCTCCCGCTTGCGCAGGGTCCAGTCAAGATGCTGTAGAGAAGATACATTTTATAAGTTATGGCATACCAAATGACACATTTTTGCAGATCAATTTTTTACATTGGAAATTCGAAAACCAATTTATTTTGTTCTACTTAGCTGTACATGATACACATATATGAAATGCAACTTCCAGATATGTGCATATATTTAATGCAGAAATTAGAATTCATGGTCATTTCCCCATAATCTTAGTGTAGAAAGGTTCTCATTTCTGCTTCGATCGTTGTTTAAGCACACTTTCCACAATTTTGATCACGACAAAAGGGTATCTTGGGTTACAGTACAAAATATGTGCTAAAGAATCATTGTGGAAAACGCCAAATAGGCAAGGAACATGGAGATGGTTTGAATCTCCACTCCAGCAAGCAATAATTATTTTGAAATTAGAAATATATGGAAGCAAGCATCATACTATAAAGGGCAACTTGCCAGGGTCCGGGGGAGGGTCCGACCACTTTGGATCTCTTGTATATGGAAGCAAGCATCATACTATAAGAAGATAAATGTGATTAGACAAGACCTACTCACAATGCTACCTGCCTGATCCAGTGGAACATTCAGTTCCGAGTCCGTTAAAAAGCATAACACTCATTCAGTAAAATTGAAAAGCATGCAAGCATCAGATATATTGTGTATCATTTTTTTTAAAAGCTTCAAGTAAATGGGATACAAGAGTAAGGATTCCGTCTTATTATGAACAAGAAGAGCATACAAGTAACTTACTATTTGTCTCTACTACACTCATCTTTGTTTCTATTCATCCCTCATTTTGGCCAGGAATGTTAAGACAGTACAGACTTTATTTGGAATGACAGTAGCGGCATTCAGTTAGATAGTTACAACTGACTTTGATTTGTATCTCACCTCGAATAATTCATCATATTTAGAAACATCCTCCCTTTTCTGTCATTTTCTACTCTCCTCGGTTTGGTTCACATTATAAAGATATACAGTGTTACATTGCAAAATAAAGCAACAACTATTTGATAATCGTTAAACTTAACGGAGGGGGCATCTTGTCTTGCTATTAAAAGAGATGTGCTAAGGAAGCTATTGCTAGAGAAACTGGCAAGGTTATTATTACGGTATACGGTTACAACCGAATGGAGTTCCCATTTGAAGTGGGATTTTCATACCAGCAGTTTGAACGTCTAGAATGTTGAACACATGCCATCAGATAGATTGGTATATATATTCTCTGTCATTGTTCAAACTAAGAAACAGCTTAACCGTGATCTGTGCAAATTTGACTTGCATCTCACCCTTTTTCATCTTGTAAGAGACTGCGTGATCAGAACACAAATCTTTGTACGATTTGTGTTCAATGTTAGAAATAATATAGGTCGGCACGTGCAATTCCTCAGTATAAACAGTTAGTTGTGACTCCCATGACCATGAGTGCATATAGCATTATTATATCACATCAGTCAGCAATCAGTAAGTCGTTCAGTATGTGCCGCATTCAGTTCTGCAACCATTTGAAGCACGCAAGCACCGTATACTTGCATATAGAAAGATAGAGCTGCAAGTACAAGGAGATGGTAAAATATAGACTCCATTTCATTATGAACAGGAGGAGCATACATATCAGTAACTTTATCTGCCTACATCTGCATGGCTCTTCTCCTCTCCTTTCTGCCGCATTTTCCTCAGGCTCATGTTAATACACTACAACATACAGTACTTTTATTTGGATGGCACCCTATAGTGCTTGAGGTGCAGCCAGTGTTTGAACGGATAGGTTAATGATTTAGATCTGATAAATGATCATGGAAAGTTAGACATAATAGACTTAGAGCTTCTACTGCATGACCCACGGATCCATCCAAGCTGCCCTTTCTCATTGTCATAAATTATCATCTGATCCTGCATTGTGATGTCTACAGAACAGAAGATCAACTGCAATTATTACAAGATCCCAGATATCCTAATTTTAGAAACTGGGTACTGTGTGTATGAATTTATACCTCCGATTATGTTGAATGTCTGTTTAGCAGCCGTACCATCAAGGATGCCTAAGCACACATTCCCATATTTCTGGCACAAAAAAGATGAGAACATTTTAGCTTTCATATTTTCAGTAAAATGTTTGGTAAAAATTACTGTAAGTTGGGTTATCAAACGCTTACAGTGACAATGAGGTAGTTTTCCGGAGGAATCTCCATGACAGAATTCTTGCCAAAGCT